TAATCAACATTTTGTTCACGAATCTGCAATTTGGCACAACTCGGCAGGGAAACCTAGTCTCTGCTCCATGTGACATCAGCTGGGGCAGCTCAGCTTGCGGGATCTGATGCTAACTCCAGGTGAACAGTGTCAGAATTGAACTGAATTGTAGGACGCCCAGTTGGTGTCTGCCGGAAAACTGAAGCGAGCTGTGGGAAAAGCCCTCACATATCTGGTGTCAGAAGCGAAGTATTGAGAGAAGTGGTAGAGTGTTGAGAGAAGAAACAGAGTTCTTCTCCTTTTACTCCCCCAACTAGATTTTTAACTCAAACCATCTTTCATGGGGCCGGCCCCCGTGGCCGAGTGGTTGAGTTCGGGCGCTCTGCTTCGGTGGCCCAGGGTTTTACCGGTTTGGATCCAGGGTGTGGACATGACACTGTTTATCAAGCCATGCGTGCTGAGGCAGCATCCCACATAGCACAAGCAGAAGGACCTACAGCTAGAATATACAACTATGTACTCGGGGGCTTTGGGGAGAAGGAGGAGAAGAAAAAAAACAAAACCATCTTTCAACTCCAGTACCTAGAATGACTTCTGACCTACAGTAGGTAAGGCACTCAATAAATACCTGCTGAAGGAATACATTTTCTCCTTTACATGATGCTGTACTTGGTAGCCAGTTTCCATAAACACTTCTTTAACAGCTAATAATGGCTAAAACAAGTAGCATTTCAACACCCTGAAGGTAAAGGAGTGCTCCTTACTTGTATATCTCACCTTCATTAATATATATTTAGCTAGTAATTGAACAAGAGAGATCTTTTTTAATAAGTCTGTTTAAATAGCTTTTGTAACTTAGTTTGAAAATCTAAGAGAGAGAAATGCGTGTGAGCAAAAATGTCTTCTTGGCTACTCATACTCTAATCTGAAAGTCAAACAGCTATCGTCACCACAGTCAAATTACCTGACCTCAAACACTATTATCAAGGCACCTATTTACAGGAAAGAAAAAAATCAAATTCGTAATCCTGGCATTAGGACCTCCACAATTAAAACCCAATTTACTTTACATGCCACTCCTCTTCATGCATGCTATACTGCAGCCAAAATGAACTCTTTCTTCGTCCCCAGGGGCTACACTTACCGCCCTTTATGTCCTGGCTTTTCTGTATGCTTTATTGGAAAGTCCCTCCACCCAGTTCCACAAACTCAAATCTAACTTATCTTTTGTATATCATTCAAATGCCACCTCCTAATCCTTTCCCACTTCTAGAGGTAATCTCCCATCCTCTCAAGTCCTACAGTACTTTATCTAGACCTCTCTGAGACCATTCATAACTTTATTTCAAGAGTATGTAGTTATATATCCATTTTCTCTCCGCCCACTTCACGATAAATGGCAGGTTCTATGTATAATTCAACATTTTCCAAAGTATGTTCCATGGAATTCACAAAATTAACAAGCAGTATAAAATAAAACTCTTAGGGTCAAAACAGTTTGGGAAATGAACTTTTCAGAATCTTTAACATACTAAGATATACTGCAAATCTCTAATGAAACAAAGTATACCTATTTCCAAAACTTATTTGGCCTCTGTACCGTTTGGGCTGTTTTGCAGCACATCTCATAGGATTACTATTTCTCTGGAATGCCCTTTGGAGACATGCAGCCTCATTAATTTTGTCACCTTATCTTGAACTTAATAGGTTGTCAACAAATATTTGCTGAATGAACAGGTAATTGACTCTAGTTAACAAACAAGACTCCCATAAAGGCAGCTTGCCCAAAGATAAGTAGAGACTCCAGAAGAATGACAGGAGAGCAAAACAGCACCTGAGAAGGGAAAACAACGTCCTCAGCAGTGCAGTAAGAGAAGAGAGAAATATTTTCGACAGCGGAAAAAGAATTTACTACCCCAGTCGATTTTTATATGTAGAGGTCATAATTAATCCAAACCACATAGGAATTCGTGTTTAGAATGTTCATCCCGAGGTAATCATTTAGAAACACTACAGATAGATCCTTTCAGAAAGATCTGTCACCTAGGGTTGAAACTAAGAAGGTATTCTGGTCAATTTCCAGGATCCACACTATTAAAATAACTGAATCATCTACTACTAAATCATTTCTATTAACTGAGGAAATATCCTGTAGTTTGATTTTGTTGTGTGAAGATGTTTATGTTAAAAAAGGAAGTCTTGTTGGACTAATAAGATTTTACAAGAAGTAGAGTTAACACTTATGAAAATTCATGGATTCAAAGCATAACTTTGTATAGATTTAACCTCTTTTTCAGGCTGGAAAAATGAAAGCACAATTCAACTTAATAGTGCATTAAAACCAGGATGCGTAAAAACAAAATATCCTTGACTACATCCTGACCTCTGTTTCCCACAGTTCTCCAGCTGTGACTAAGAAAGGGAAGCAGCAGAAAAGACACTCCCTGACTTGTCCTACAATGTAGATCAGATGGCAGTAGCAACAGGAAATGGCAGCAAGGACTGAGGTTTTTTGCGCTTTTTTTCCCTCCTCCCTCTAAAGCAAAGAGAACAATTTTTCACTTAGAGGTGATAACTTATTCAAGAGTAGAGTCCATTATAGGGCTGAAAAGATACATACATTTCTTAATCGTAACTATTAACATTTAATTGTAATTATTAATGTAATATGCTTTTAATTTTGATGAAGCAACAAGCTACGTATGGTCAGGAAAGAGAAAGTGACATTAGTTAAGATCCAGAAGCATGTTTAAGGTTGCTCTATGAACCCTCTGGCCACAGGACTAGTCTGTCTCTATCATCATTGGTCAGTAAATGAATATTACTGGCTAGTGCATAACTGGAGTCACTCAGTTTAAGGTAAACTCTAATTTGGTTTAACTACTTTACTAAATAGCAGGACCCTAGAAAGCAAAACATATATATGTATTTTATATATATGTATATACACACATATATTTCTCTACCTTCTCTCCTTCACCCGGGGCGGGGGGGGGGGGGCAGAAATCAAATATATTTTCAAATAAGTTATATGGACTCCTATGGTCAAACATTTAAACAAAAACAGATATAATACAGTCCGAAACACAATTGGGAATGTGGAGCAGAATTCATTAACTCAAAGGTTAATGCCTTACAAACTGTACGACAAAATAACAGTTTTCCATTAATAGCTGTATAATCACGTATTTCACTAAGTAAATTAAAGATCTCAACTTCATAAATAGATTCCTACCTTTATAAGATATGAAAAATAGAACAAGGAACTACAGAACTACTTAGTATCTTTCCCAGGAACACAGAGTAAAAGCTTTTAGCAGAAAGAGCCTCTCCCTGCTCCTGTGTCAATCAATAACCAGATGGCACAATGCTGGAATGAGAGAAGTGAATGTAATACATCTCCCAACACTTAAATCTGAGGAAATGCAGTTAATATTTCCAAGTTCTTTCTTGTAATTATAATGCCTCATTCACAAATCACTATTTTATTACAATTTATTATAACAGTATGTTATTACTCTCAACAAAAGCATTATCTATCCAAAAGCTGAGAGAAACCCAAACTATAGTAACAGCAACGAATGAAAACTTCCCAATTGCTAGAAAAACTAAGGCATTCAACCTTTAAGCCAAAAAATCCTGCTGAATCTTAAGCAGAAAAAGGATCCAATCTGCACTTATGGAGAAATTTTCTATTGTCAACTGCAGTCTTCCCAATGATTACACTTCTGTTACTCATCATGAAACACAAGCACACACAAAAAGGGTCTTTCTTTCCTTTTTCTTCACACCTGTTTTCTTCTCTTTCACAAAAGAAGATCCCTTGTACATTTCATTGCTTGGTGGTCCAGTTAGAATTTCCCTATTCTATTATCTCAAACATCACAGCTCCTTATATTGGATTTTACTAAATTAAATTTTAAGTTTTAGACTGAAAATGCTCAAGGAAACACATGAGAATGCTCACTGTCTCACGCGTTAAGGATTCTCTAGCTGGCAGTGAGGTGGTTTTATAATACACTTAAATTCCTGAAGACCCAAACACAAATGTTGATTTTAGTCTTGCCTCCTTCCAGTCTGAAAGGCTAAGTAGGCCTTTATTGTCCTAAAAAATACTTCAGCCTTTTCAAATGTAAGAGTAAACTGGCAGGCATGTGAGTGCCACTTCTGACATTTACTAACGGAGTACCTACTCAACATCGCGAACCCCCAGTCGCCCCGATCTCGCGGGCCCCCTTAGAATACCACGCGAGGACTCAAACGACTAGACGGGGCTCGCCCAACCCGGGGCTCCCGCCCCTCCTTCCGCTCCCTGAGTCAGCGCCCACGGCTCAGCCCCCCGGCATCTCCCAGCGCCCGAGCGCCGCGGCTTCCAGTCCTCCAGTTCCGGGCTCGCGGCCCTGCCCACCGCCCCCCGGTCCCCCAGCCTCCCCTCCCCCAGTCCACGCCCCGCCCGCGCGGACACCGGCGCCGCCGCCCCACCCCTTCGTGTCCGCACCTTTCTTCCGAGGGCTGCTCCGGGCAGCAGGCGGACGCCTGCGCCTCTGCCCGCCCCCCGCAGCCTGCACCCCCGGCCTGCCACTCCCCGAAGAGCCGCCCGACCCACCTCGAAGAGCTCGGCCGTCGTAGCCATCCCGGCCGGCGGAGAGGCTCGCCTCGCGCTGGACGCCGTTGCCTCTTCACATGCTGCGCCTCAACGGCGCCGCGCACACGTCCCCGCTCGGCTCGCCGGCTCCGGCTCCGGCTCCGGGCCGCCGCGGGCTCCCCCGCTCCCCACAGAGCCCAGGCGGGGCGGGAGAGCGGCCATGAAGCGAAGCCGCAGACGCCTGTCAGCTGCCTCCCGGCGCCGCCCGCGCCGCTCCCATTGTCACCGCCTCGTACGCCGGAAGTGGACCTGCGCGCGCCTGGTTGGCTGTCGGGAGGGGCCGGCGAGGGAAGCGAGCAGCGGGCGGACCGCAGAGAGGCGCGCAGTTCGTGCGCGTGAGGAACCGTGATCCTTGCGGGCCACCGTCCCGGAAGTGGACTTTAGAGGAAGAAAGTACATGGGTTGCTGCGGATTAGTCAGTTTCTCAGATTCTGGGTGCGGATTCGCCGAGATGTTTGTGGTATGTGTTGGCCAGGAGGGACTCAGAGGTTGTAGTCACTTCACCTGCAGGAGGCTGGCTTCTCTGCTGAGCCTGACCTGTTTGTGGTGAAGAGGAAGGCGGCTCAGGATGAGCGAGCCTCGGGACTTCTGGGAAGAGTCCATCTGAGAAAGCCGGTCTGCGCTCTTCCTCGGGGCCACCTTAGAGTAGGCTGATGCGTTAGTGGCTTATCATGGCCCAGCGAGCGATGTGGCTCATAAGCCACGAACCGGGAACTCTACTGCGTGGCACCGTCAGATTCTCCAGGTAAATGCAAGTCTGAATCCTAGGGGATGCTGCATCGGAGGGATGGGTGGTGTAGCATAGTTTTGTGATGCAGTCTACCCCTGGTCCACCACCTTGGGCGAGTTGCTTAACCTCTATTTCATGTGTGAAATAGAGATTTCAATAATACTGCCTCAAAGTTTTGTGAGAATTAAATGAGTTGATTCCTGGTACAAATTAAGTATTATGTGTTTTCTAAAATTAGTATTACCGTATCTTAAAATTAACTCCACCTGCTTAAAATTGCTGTGGAGATGACGCAGGAAAACTTACCACTCAACGTGTTTCAGATTTTTCTACTTTCGTTAATAAAAGTCATTCAAGGACATTTTAACTCATCCTTCTGGGAAATCCTTGATGAGCAGTATCAGCCTATTGTCATCTTATTATGTTTCATTCCTAAATTTCCGAATAGTTTAAAGTTCCTAATTGTTGAAGAAAATTGAAAAAGTACAAAAAATTAAATTATTTTCACTTTTTCTTGGATTGTGTAAACTGATCTGATTCCACTTGTGGAATTTGCCACATTTTATCGAAATACCTCTGTGAAGAGAACAATACCATAACTCATTGTAAAATGTTGGTGGCAATTGAGTAATCTTTCACCTTTTATTCTTAGTGACTATTGATGGTTCTTTCTTGACATCAAATTCATTCTTCCCTGAGGAAAGATCTATAGTGAAGAAGCGTAGCTCTGAATTGAGATTGAGGCCAATAGGGATGAGTGTAAGTTTAAATGTAAAATGGTTGGCAATATGGATATGAAAAACTCCCTCTTTGCAACCTAAAGTTTTTGTGACTGAGGGCATCAAGAGTTGGAGTTTACCATTTTCCCCCAAGATACCTGGGCTTACATTTGTTGGTACTGGACCTCAAATAAGGAGATTAATAATATTTCTTAGTGTAGTTCATCAGCCTCATTGGTCCATCCAAGGTCCTCCACGTTTTACTTATATATTGCCCTATATATATCTTTATTTCTGCCGTTCTCCTCCCCGCCACAGGTAACTTACATGTTTGTTGCTATCCTTTTATTTCCGTCTTTGTGTGTGTATTTTTCAAATTACATAATTAAGTGTGCAATAGACTTCATTCCCTTTTCTTACATTTGTTAGATTCTCAGCACTCTTTTTAAGAATCATCCATGCAATGATGGACGTGGGAAATGTTCTAAATCTGTGCTATCTAATATTGTAGCCACTAGACACATGTAGCTATTGAGCTTTTGAAATGTGGCTGTTGTACCTTTGGAACTCAGTTTTCTATCATTTTAACTTAAGTTTAAATAGCCACATATGGCTAGTGGCCACTATATCGAGCAGTGCGGATCTAGGCCGTTGCTTCTCCTTGGTCTGTAGTACTCCTTTGTTTACATCCTCCACATTGTACCTATCCTCTTCGCTTAGTGATGTTATCCCCCGTTGCCTCCAACTCACCCATCAGAATAGTGCTACGGTAGATGTCCTCAAAAAGTCCATGGGGCATATCTTTGCTGATTATGACTAAATATTGGTAAATAATTAGCTCCTCAGAATACTTTCACCAGTCTTCACTCTCACCAGCAGTGAGTGAGGGTTCCTATATCTCCTTTCCTCCTAACACTTAATTTCGATTTTTACCAGTATTGTTGTAAAGGTATCTTATTTTTATTTTCATGTTTCTTTGTAGCAATGATTGTTAACTCTTTGGGATTCCTCTTCAGTGAATTACCTATTCGTTTCCTTTGTCCGTTTTTTCCTTGAGAGTTGCTGGGTTTTTTCCTGTTAATTTGCAGGAGTTCATCGTGTATTCTTGCTGTTAGTCTTCTGTCATTTTTAGCTATTATAGATATTTTCTCTTAATTTATCATTGTCAACTTTACGTTGCCCTTCGTTAAACAGAAATCACAAATTTTATTGCGATCAAAGTACTTAGTGCTCCAGGGGATTTGTTGACGTCTTTTCCTACCCTTAATTCCCAAAGATATCTTCCTACATTATTTTCTCTTAACTGTATCATTTTATCTGTTATATTTAGCTCTTTAGTCCATCTGTAGTCCATCTTTGGGTATGATGTTAATATGGGAATCCCATTTTGTTTTTCTTGGTACCGTGAGCCAGTTTTCCTAACATCATCTTTCAAACAGTACATATTTTGTTCATTGTTTTGTGGGGCTATTGATAGTTTATTATGTCTTCCGTGTAAACATTGGTATGTCTCAGTTCTATTAGTTTATGTATCTGTACTTGGACCAATACCATACTGTATTTATATCTGTGACTTTGTAACTTATTTTACTATATCATAGAGGTAAGATTTTTTACTGCTTATAAAATAAGTCTCTTGAAGAAGTCATACTTGTTTTGAGAATTTTTTCCCACTGTGCTGAGAATATTTCAGAAGAAAAATTCACATCTGTTTGGGTGGGCTTTTCAACATCTCTATGGAAACAGCAAGTTGGGTTCAAATAATTCATTTGTTACTTATTAATTCTGTACCATTGAAAAAAATAGTTAAGGTTTATTATTTTCAATTTTCTGACCTCTTGGGACTGGTGTTAGGGCTAAACAGATAAACAGATATGCTGTAGCATATTATCCACATATATGCCAAAGGATAATGGCCGTCATTTAAGATTTAAAAGGCACATGATCTTTCCTGTATCTGACTACTTTTTCCCCACAACAGAACTTGTTTTAGGTTCTAGTTTAGAGGTTTACTGTCAGATAGATAGTAATAGTATCAGCTTAAGTCTGGCTTAGGTTGGTATTGTACCGCATAGTTGTAGGACTGTTTAAGGTTTGAGACCTGTTTTAGAAAAGGCCTAGAATAAATCTAAAATGACAGGATGAGTCCTTGAACAAAAATATATTTTGAGTACATATTGAGGCATCATATAAGGCCCAGATTAACTTCTTATCTTTACATTCAATCATGAGATTCTTACACTTAAGAAGAACTTTAATTATCCTCCAGATCGCTAGAGGATAAGACACTACACTAGAGATTAGTCCAAAATTCTCAGCTATTCTTATCCAGAGACTCAAAGAAAGAAATGACATTCACCTGCTAGGCCAGTACTGGCATGCTGGCTAATTCTTTCCCTTTCTCAATCAAGAAAATGCATCAGAATGTAAATGAGTGAGGTTTCCTAGTACACAGATAACTTTGAATACATTCCTGTTTTTCTTTCTTAAAATTATTAGTAAACATTGATGTTTTGTTAGTAGTATTAGTGAAAAAAATTGTTTTGGCCAGGTGTGTGCTTGATCCTTGATGAGAATTGCTGATGTGTTCTTCAGTTACTCCTTTATTTTACAAATAAGAAAGTGGATTTAGGGAAGTTAGGTGATTTACACAGAAGTTAATAGCCATTAGATGACTTTGTTCTGTACTTTGGAGTGGAGGAATAAGGAATAGGGAAAGTACTTTTGTTTTTTAAAGATCGGCACCTGGGCTAACAACTGTTGCCAATTTTTTTTTTTTCTGCTTTATCTCCCCAAACCTC